GGTTTTAAACTTCCACCACAGGTAACCTAACACAGTTTGGATACAGGATAATTTTCACAACCAGCTTCATTTAGTCATCATCAAATGGTAAGAATTATGAGAGAAGGACACAACAAGAGGTTAATAAAGGGGAAAGCTTGTTGGATGATCCACCATGTGAAGAAAATGTATCTATAAAGTTACAAGTCTTTTAGCTTTTAGCTGGACTGTGGATGTTAGCAGCCCTCAGTCAAAGTGGGTCATATGTCAGGAGGGCTAATGCTAGCATGCTGCCACAAGCTAAGGAGGCACTTAGAAAGCAAACATCTTTGAAAGAAACTTGGCCTACGTCATAAACGAGCTAGATATGAAACAGAAACAGCAACACTATTTTTTGGATTGCATGAAAGTACCTAATGCGGTGATAGAGGTGAGTTAAAATCGGAGCCTAGCTGATATAAGTGGGGGGGTTCAGACTGATACGAATGTGTGGTGATTTAAAAATCCAATACACAAACGTAAGCAGATCTCGCTAACATTTGTTATGTGTTGTTACTTCTGAGCCTTAATAAGATACAGTGGCAGCACAGTTGTGGAGAACTTAATCTGGCTGACTCTGCTGGTTTGTGGTGCTCCGAACATGTGTCGGTCCAGAGAGCCTTCTGATGGAACACCAGAGCTCATGTTTGAAGATTATTTCTTTCCTTTACCTAAATAAAGCAAAATTGTTGGCTGTTTTAAATGCTAACATCAGTAAGTCTATAAAGAACTAATATCGGCTGATATTGAATCTGGTTGAAATTCAGTAAAAAAAAAAAAAAACTGCAGATTTCATGATCAGTCTAAATGCTGCAAATGGGCAAAAAATAAGTAAAAACTGCAATCAAAAGAAACTATTGACACGTTAGACATTGGACCTCTTTTGTGGCAGATACACGATTCACCTGCAGGCCTCTTCTGTTGCTTTATAGTCATTACATCAGTCTGGCCACAGATATTTCTCAGTGAAGGTTCCCATGTTAGTACTCCTGGTTCTTTCTGGAGTGTTTCTGTCTAAACATTCACATGAGCCTGCTGGCTGCATGGCTTGCGATATCAGTCAGTACAGAGCATGGTGGGACTCTGCAGCCAACCTCAAAGGTGGCTCTCACACATTCTGAAGGAAAATGCTGGTGAGTGACTTTAGTCCACACGGGGGATTAGAGTGAAAACTGTACAGGGATTTAGGGACATTAAACAAGGGGCTAGCTCATTTACAACATCTGAGATCACACCATCAGCTGCCACTCATCTGAAAACTAATCACAAAATAGAGCGCTGCGTGATGTTCTTAGTGCGGCCGTAAAGGGAGAGCCCGTGTTTTAGGGATGTTTAAGAGGAAAGGTCGCCCTTTGGTGTCGAGAAAAAAGAAAAGGCTTTTGTCCCGAGCCATCAGTTTGCACTAATATTCAGCAGTCATGCAAGAGCTTGGAAGGATTGTAGTAGGAATGACCTTTGCAACCCAACTGTTTAATTATTGTAGTATAAATGTAAACATATGCATTTGACTCATTTGTTCTTCTTTGAAAACAGAATAAACCTGGCAATATATTATAAACAAATCCTTCATTAGAAGTATCCAAATGTTCAAAGAATACAGCATTTTCATGATTTTTATTTCTCACAAATTGTATTTATTTATTTTTTTTAAGATAACGATGAGTTGAGGAATAAAATGTACTGTATAAAGTAGAGAAGATGTTTCTATTGAAAGGTTGGGCTTAATTTTATCTCTTTTTTTACATTTCCAAAACAATTCTATTAGTATTTTGTTATTTAGAGGTTAAAGTTAATTGAAAAGAACATTTTGTATTGTTGTCTTTTCATTCACTCAGGTTACCTATAAATTTATCTGATTTACTGTAGGCTTCACTTTGTTGGATTTCACTGCAGTCCTCTTTCTGCATCATCACCAGATAGAAAGCTCTATAATATTTATCCTCTCCAGGGAGGACAGCTAAGTGCATGTGCACAGCTACTTCTTCTCTTTCTGTCTTGCAGGGCACGCTGACATTTACTCGATATGGCTATGTTGTTTTTCCAGTGGTTTAGGTATAGTGACAACCGTGAGCTTGGGTTTTTGTTGCAGAGGGAGGAGGAGGCCAGGAAAAAGGGGCCAGATGAGGAGAGGAAAAAGAGATTACAGAGAAAAGGGAAAAAGACTGAGGCAGGAATCTTCAGAGAAACCTTCCTAAACAGTAGCATCAAATGCTTATTTGACTTTTTATTTACTTGAAATCTTCAGTCACATAAATTGAACTTAATGGGTGAGTATAGTGTTACTAACATTAACTAAAAAGTAACAGTACAAATTCAGGGCATGTAACTGTTGGGTGTATTCTTCCTATGTGTTGAAAGAAGGGTATAGGGAGAAATGGGGGAGGGGAAAGGGGGGAGAACATTTTTCATTCTGTGTTATCTTGTGAGGCATTTCAAGGACAGGGGTTTTAATGAGTGCACACTGGAAAGGCCGATGATTTTAGGATGCTGAAGGATGACCACCAAACATACTGCTGTATCTGCTAAAAAAAACAACCATACTGAAACAATGTAGCCACAAAAATGAGCCAGCAGTTTTTTAAACATCACTTTCTATCTTTGTAAGAAGTTTAAAGAGAAATAAGTGTATGACAAAAGAAGCCCTCTGGATAAATATACAGAGAATACATTTCTATCATCAGTCTTTCCCCTTGAACCCACATGTGTAAAAGCCTAGTTGGCTGTGGGTTTGATTCCCAGTGGGGCCATGGAAACAAACATGTATTCTTCCCCCTCCCTCCCCTTTGTTAGCAGCCTTGGAGAAGAGCACCAAATGGCATCTTTTATATCCGTAGGCACATCTGCTCCTCACCAAGAGAAACCATTGCATGTATTTTCCATTCATCGTGTGTGTAACACAAAGAGTGAGAACATGAGAAAACTAACAATATTTACCTGGGAATTCTTATTAGATTCCCAATGTGCATCTAAAATATTTATGATTGATTTAATGTCCAGTGCACTGCTCTATACATCATTACCAACACGAGCTTTTATATTTCTAATGCCTGTTGTGATACGTACAATCCCTGGTCACTTTATTAGGTACACCTGGCAAGTGCTTAATAACATGAAGAATTAAGAGCAGCCTTAAGAAGAAGATGGGCACACTATGATCACAAAACGTGTTCAGATGGTACCAAGGGGCCCAAAGTTTGCCAAGATTATATCCCCACACACCAGCACCAGGCTGAATCGCTGATACAAGATAGGATGGATCCATCCTTTCATGTTGTTTGTGCTAAAGACTGGCCTCTTTAGCACAAAGAGGGAGACTCAGACCAGGCAACATTCTTTATATCGTTTGGTGAGTATAAACTGTAGCCTCAGATTCTTGTTCAGTTTGAAGGGTCAGTGTGTTGTGTGTTCAGAGTCCCTCTTCTCCATACCTTGGTGGTAACACGTGGTTATTTGAGCTATTGTTGCCTTCCTGACAGCTTGAAGTAGTCTGGCAATTTGCCTCTGACCTATGGTATCTACTCATTAGATATTTTCTCTTTCTTAAACCATTTTCCGTGGAGATGGTTTGTGTGGGAAGATCTCAGCAGTTCAGCACTTTCTGAAATTGTCAGACCAGTCCATCTGACCAGTTCCTACCCTAAGCCTAACCATTAAAAATCAATGCGAACTCTAACCTTCAGCCTAAACCTAACCATAACCTAATTGTACTCCTGACACTAAAACCACATTTTGAGCCTCAAAAATGCCTTCAAACCTGTGGGGACGGGCATTTAGTCCCCACAAGTTATAGTAGCATGCCAATTTTGTGTCCTCACAAAGATGTCTAAACATGTGTACACACACACACACACACACACTGAAAACAACAAACTGTCAAATTCAGGAAAAGACAGGAGGTACCATCTATTTTTTTTGAATGACACATCCTTTATATGTTAAAAAAAGCATTTAAAAAATTTGAAGAGGGTGTGTATGAAGAAGGCTGAAACAGACAGTACCATCTTTTTGGTGCCTTAATTTGGAAAAACCCAAATTTTTATTTCAGAGCCTCCAAGCTGTTCTAGCAGAGATGCGTTTAAGTTTTCACCCAGTCTGCTGATTTTTAATGTGTGCTCTGAATTCTGTCGCGAGTGCCACAAACCGAACCGTGCATTGCTCGAAGCAGACTATTTACACCACATTATCCAGTGCTCACTGTTAAGGTTTCATTTTAATTTTAATTGAAGCCTCTAACTGATATCAAACATCTCTGTGAGCTCTTCAAATGAATGCAGCTGAAGCTGATGAATATCAGAAAATTGAACAGGAGGTTTTTCATTGTTGTTGTTTCGAATGTTTCTGTTTCTTAACTCTCAGCCGGCACAGTGTGATTTCATGCAGAGGTTTAGAAGCTATTTTTATGTACCTGCTTTCAGCTGTCAAAGGGACGGGCTGAAGAGATGAGATGCCCAAATCATTTTAAGTCTATTTTAAGCTTTGCTATTGTAAAATGCTTTGATGCCAAGGACAGGTACTGCATCATTCATGAACAGGAAAGGACCTATTGACTCCTTATTTCTGCAGAAGTCTCCTTATTAAACCATGAATTTTGAGTCTGAATTTCTTCGCTGGCTAAACTTGTGCGGTTGAATAAGGGTTAAGAGATATCTAATAAGGACGTGTGAAGTCAGTGAGAGTTTAATTATCAGGTGCGAAAGGCTCTTCACCTGTGGGGATGGAGCAATGGCACTTGTCTTTGCCACTTCTTTTTCTCTCCTCTGCATGTGCCAGTGTGCTCACATACATATATATGTATTTTTGTATGGGAGTAGCGCATTAAAGCAAATCCACTGATATTTATATTGGCTCATTCAAAACATATTTCATCAAGCATGACTGTACAGATGTTTGTTTTAAATTTAATTTTTATATGTTACCAGGAAGACTTTATCCCATCCTTTATTTCACACACAGGCTGATATCAGATATTTGATTTTTCGCAGGGCGTCGGGCGCGATGGCTAATGCCTCTCCAGACCTGGACAACGCGGAAGCCCAGCGCCAGCTTAACAACAACAACCGACCAATCGGCTCTGGCTTCTGGGAGACAGAGTGTACCAGCTCCAAACTGTTCGAGTGCTCCCGCATCAAGGCCCTGGCAGGTCAGAGGTCACAAGCAGATCAGTGCACATGCTTACTCACATTTACACAAATACAGACACTGCAGACATTTGACCGTATTATCTGTTCATATACAAAATGAATAATACCTACTTTCAGGGCATTTTTAAACAATTAATCAAATGCAATTTAATAAAATGTAATTTATATAGCACCCAGTCACAACAACAGTTGCTTCTAAGTGCTTTATATTTTTAGATTTTTCATCTCTTAACTGTTTAATAGTGAATTATGTGCACCTTGTATTTTAGGTATTTGAAGAAAATATTTCATAAAGTATTAGATCGACTTTGTCAGGCAAGGGGCAAGCATGAGCGTGCATGCAGCTGAAAGCAACAAAAGGTCTTTCAGGGCCATTTGAAGTGATTCCGATCTAACCATTTCACATATATAAAGCTGTTATTATTGTATCTGTTCCTTTAATTTAAAATGTCTTTCCTAATTTCCCTCAGATGAACGAGATGCAGTGCAAAAGAAGACTTTTACAAAGTGGGTCAACTCTCATTTAGCCAGGGTGTCCTGTCGCATATCTGACCTTTACAACGACCTGAGGGATGGATACATGCTCACCAGACTGCTGGAGGTCCTCAGTGGAGAGCTGCTGGTAGGAGCCGTCATGGTTTTAGTTTTGTAATCCTTCATTTTTGTTCATTCTGTCAGTTTCTTCCTGACTGATTTCATTTTCAGAATCAGAATCAGAAAGGGTTTTATTGCCAAATGTTGAGCGGGTTTACAACATTAGGAAATTCAATTCAATTTTATTTATATAGCGCCAAATCACAACAAAAGTCGCCTCAAGGCGCTTCATAGATACAGAGGAAAAACCCAACAATCATATGACCCCCTATGAGCAAGCACTTTGGCGACAGTGGGAAGGAAAAACTCCCTTTTAA